AATTTCTTGTCATTTCTTTCAGCACATTTTAGTTTGAATTGTAGAAAGAAATCTGTGTGACAAAATATTCCTAGAGATGTATATTTGGAGTATGTGAGACTTGCCTGTCCATGAATATTCACACGTATCCCAAGCACTGTAATAAACTATGTTGTTCTTAAAAGAATCTGAAAGAGAAGGTGGACAGTCCATTTAAGGAGTTCTCAATGCCTTGAGATAGTGACAACTGTAGTGACCATCTGTTGGAGTATTTGCCTATTCAAGAGCCGTGGCAGGCAAAATTTTTAAGATGGTTCTCCAAATTCCTGTCTCCTGGTATGCATGCCCTGTACTATACTCTGCCTTTCAGTGTGGGCAGGACCTGTTAATGTGGTGAGATGTTACTCCTTGGATTAGGGGATGGAATCATTTCTCCCATGACTACTTCATGTTATGTAAGACTCCAGTCGTGGTGGTAAGTAACAGTAATGGTGGCAGCGGTAACAGCAGCAGCAGCAGCAACAGGAGCCGACTGTGGGGAAATTCTCCCGCAGGCAAGTAAGCTCCGTGATGCAAGAGAGCTGTGTGATTAGGACCGGAAGGCCATCTCCAAGAGCCGAGAGAAAGCCCTGGCCAACACCTGGCAAGAAGAAAAGGACACCAGTCCTCTAGTTACAAGGAACTGAATTCTATCAACAACCTGAATGAGTCAGCAAGATGACCCTGAGCCTCAGATGAAACTGCACCCCCAGCCCACACCCTGATTGCTATCTGGTGCGACCCTAAGCAGAGAATAAGCCATCCTGAGGCTTCTGACCTAATGAAGCTGATGGATAATATGTTGCTTTAAACTGCTAAATTTGTAGTAATTAGTTACATAGCACTAGAAAACTAATATGAGAATCAACAGCCATCCCACAGCTGTAAATCCCAGAGCTACCTGGGGGCCTGGTGAACCCCACGTACAGTGAGAGGAGGATATTTGTCAAGAGGATCCTGAAGAGGAGAAACAGGGACTGAGGCCAAAAAAGTCCTGGTACAGATTTAGGGTGTCCTCCCCAGAAGGGCCTGCTGACCTGGCCAGTCCCCAGTAGACAAAAGAACATTCAGGGTTTCCACTTCTGGGACCCACACAAGACTAGGTTCTGCCTCACAGGCCCTGCCAGATGGTCCCAGGCACCACAGAGAACTTAGAACATTTGGAGGAAGATTCTCCAAAGTAACCCCCACCAACACCCCTAGCCCGAAATTGCGGGGCTTGGTTAAAAGTCCTCTTGCTCAGGTCTAAGAGTGTAACTGCTTCTACCTGCCCTGTGAACTCAGTAGCAGGGAAAACTGGTCCATGGAAAAAAATGATGTATAAGCAGATTCAATGGCAAGAGAGGAGAAAGCAGAGGAGAAAGTATGCTGCTTGGTTGCGAGATGACTTTCAGTCTACTTCTGAATCTGTGCTGCACTCTTCCCTTCCTACTCCATCAAATGCCTTCTAATATTAATTCCCTTCTCTTTTTTGTTATTAAGCCATTTTATTATTTTTGTTATTTGCAAGCATACAAAGCTGATGCAATATCCAAAGCTAGATTCTTAGCATTGTAGTTTCAAAAACTCAAGTTTATCATTTCCACCAGGGCAAATTAACCTCTTGGGGATCAACATGTTAAGAAGACCCATAAGAAACTAACATGAACCTCAGAGTGCCAATTTATCAATCTATAAAGAAACCTAAATCTAGAAAGAAAAACTTATATGGAGAATTTGCTCTGTGTAGTTTACCATGATAGGTTAAATGTACTCAGGAGAAAAAATTATCAGAGGATTGTTTGGTTGAGCATATAAAGTCATACCTTGGTATGGGGGCGAGGGGCAGGGGTTAGTTCCAGAACCCTAAGCAGATCCCAAAATTGGTGGATGCTCAAGATCAATAGTCAGCCTTCCCAATCAGTGGTTCCTCATTCAACCAACCTGGGATCATGTAGTACTGTATGTATTTACTGGAAAAAACTCTCTGTATAAGTGAACTAGTGTAGTCCAAACCCTTGTTGTTCATGGATCAACTCTAATTAGAAGAAAGAGAATGGATAGTCTTGGGGGATTTTTGTTTCAAGTTAGGATAGTTCAAATTCCTCTTCTATTCTAGGAATATTTCTCTTTAAAAATTAGTTTTAGTCCTTGAACTCAAGTAGCCTTCTGATTATTGCCACATATATTCTTATAATTTGTCTACTGTAATCCTAGACTTATCCCAAATCATCTTTCTGTTCACATATGATTCTCCCAGAAAATTTTCTCTAACTATAGTTGATTAACTTTTTGGTACATTAAGCATGTTATTCACCACCTCTAGTATCTATTATCTGTGAGTCTTTAATTAAAGAATTAATTAAATAATAATAGCCATTATTTACTGAGTTCTACCTATTAAGCATCTAAAGTGAGCTTTCTTACTTACTCCTTTCAGTAATTCTAAAGTACTGATAATATTATCATCACCTCTATTTCCTAGATGAAGAAACAAAATACAAATAGTTTAAGTGATTTGCCTAAGGTCACATAGTTAACAAGCAGCAGAGCTCGGCTGTGAACCCAAGAAATCTGACTATAGAGTCACCATATGTTACAATTTACAGCCTTTCACGAGGTACTTACACTTTCTAAATCTTGAAACAAAGCTAACAGTACCTTACCTAAAGATTGTTAGAAGTCTGAATGTGATAATGGATATAAAGCTCTTAGCACACTACCAAATATATAGTGATTACTAAATAGATATCATTAGTATAATTCTCTCAGGAATATGGATTGGATTTAGGAGATTCCTACTCACCTTAATAGTGCAAACACAAACTAGATTTTAGAATGAGTTCATTCTATTGTCAGATGGCTGATCTAATCAGTCACATCAGTCTTTCAACTTCCATTTCAAATGATATTACCCAATTTCCAAAATCTGAGTACCCTCCCCTCCATTTTGCAGACTGCACATATTGCTCTAAAACTCAGTCACAACTTCACACACTCCACAACTCTGCCTAAGGTCACTGCTGCCCTAGTGACCTAAAAAGTCACTTTCACTTTCCACAAATCCCCAGATTAAATGTAGGGAATTACAGAGGTATGAGTTTCACAGATGTATGTATGTATGTATATTTGTATTTATTTACCTAAATCTCTTGTTCTTTTGAGTAAGATCTACTTATTTCAAGAGCAAACATTTTATGGTTGCTTCTTAAGTTATAATTCCAGATATTTTATAACACAAGGATTAATATACCATAAATTTTTTTTTAAATTCTGGTCAACCAAAAAAATTATTTTAATATATTACAATTATGACTCTTGCAGTAAATTTAAGATTTGGAACTTTATACAAGATTATTTTTCACTGTTTTTGAATAGCAGATTTTTTTTTCTGCATATGTCTGAACATGCAAAGCACAAAACTTGCTTGATTTATCTGTATTTTAAAAAATTCTCTTTGACTCCAGAAATGTAAACTTCAGAAGTTAGATCATTGTTACCTTAAACCCTCAGTTAACTGTAGAACTGAGAACAGATCTTTTAATAGCTGTGTAATACAACTTAACATGAGTTATGGCAGATTCAACATCCTGACTGTAAGAAACCTCAGTCACTATCAGGGCCAGAAGGTATCCATTCACCAATCATAATCAGAAGGCCACAAGGGCATCTGTGATCTCTTTGCCCTTAAAGTTAGTATAATATTTAGCAGATCTACTGAATGGAAGGGGGGGGGTAGGAGGGGTATGATGAGATAAGTAATTTAAGTACTTATTTCTTACAATTGTTAAAGTTAAAAAAAAAAAGCCCAAATCAAAAGTGTACAGCTCCATGAATTTCTATAAAATGAAGATATTTGTGTAACCAGAACCCAGATCATGACAAAGAATATTATCAGGACTCCAAAAGGCTCCTCATGTCCCCTTCTGGTCACTATCTGCTCCCCACTCCCGAGGGGAACCATCATCCTAGATTAGCTTGGCCTGCTTTTGAACTGCATGTACATGGACTCACATAGCATGTGCTGGTATATATCTGGCTTTTTCAATTTAATACTGTATTTGTGAGTGACAGCCACACTCTTCAATGTGATTGCAATTGGTTTATTGTCATTGCTGTATACAGTATTCCACTGTGTGCACATGAGTTTATTTATTCAGGCTACTGTTCATCAGCAATCAGGAACCTCTGGTTTGAGTGCAGTGATGAACATTATTACATACCTCTTTAGTGAACATACGTGCATTTCTGTTGAGAATACACACAGAAGTGGAATTTTAGGGTCATGGGTTGACTACAAGTTCAGATTTAATAGATCCTGACAAACCTACTCCAAAGTAAATGTACCAGCTGACACATCCACTAGCAGTGTATGAGAATTCTAGTTGTTTGATACCCTCTCAGATACTTGGTATTGTGTAAATTACTCATTTTAATCATTCTGATGGATGTGTAGTGGTAATCTGTATTTCTTTGGCTTGCAGTGCCAGTCAAAATGGAGTTAGACCACTACAGTTTATCTTTCCTACTGATTACAACTAAAAGTTCAGGGCAAAATACAAAAAGCAACTACCCGAGGACTCTAAAAAGTAAACAAAAACAGGCAGATTAGGGAAGAGAATCAAAACTTGGAAAAATACCGTGTGTGTTTGTTTTTCCTATTTTCTCCCACAGCTTTGACTTGAGGCCTGGCACCTAGTGGAACTGTGGTGGCAGCACAGGGAACAGAAACAGAGAAACTCCATGTATCTTGCCAGATGAATGGGGAAGTGGGGTTTCTGGGAGCTCAAGTCTGTGGGAAATAACTGTCTTTTTTTCTCCTTTTTTTTTTTTTTTTCCCTCTGGGCTTCGACCTGAGTTAGGGCCTAGGTTTGGAGAGCTACAACACCAAGAGAAACTGTCTTTCTAGACAAGGAAACTGGGGAAGGCAGCCTCTGTGTTCTAAAGAGTATGGAGGGAACACAGGTTTGGGTTGGTTTTTTTTTTCCTCTGTTTTCTCTCACCTCTTTGTTCCAGTGTGGGCCCTAGGCAGCTACTATAGCTATGGCACGAAGTTAAAACTTCAAGAGAAACCTCATATTTCTACCAGGAAAAGAAGACCCTGAAAAACAGAGTATAAGAGGAATATCAAAAGGAGGAGAGCTGGAGAAGGGGACTCCCTCATTCTATGTATGAACCCACATAAGTTCTGTGCTCACACCTTAACTGAGCATCAGCAGAGCAGACAAAAAGCTGCTGCATAGCAAAAGATATGTGAACTGAACCACATTTTAAATTACTGCCCAAGTTCCAAAATAATTCCTGAGTGTTATATGTATAGAACAGACTCAAAGCAGCACCATAAAGCCTTTGAAAACTGAACTGACATGGCACCACCCACAGGTGAGACTCAACTTGTGATATGAACCAAACTGGATGGATGGCTTCCTAAAACAAAACAAAAAAATGAACATTCCTCAAAGGCTTTTAACAGGACCCAGAGTTTATGCAACACCATATTCCAAATGCCTTGGATAAAAATCACAATTACTCAGTACACAAAGTGCTGGAAAAATATGGCCAGCTCTCAAGGAAACCAACAGCTGCCAACCACTGGATAAACAAGATGTTTACAATTATCAAAGACTTTAGAGCAAACATAACCAGAAAGTAGTTGAAAACGTTCTCTGCAGATATACGTCGTACTCTAGGGGGAAAAAAAAAACCCTGTATTTTTGTATCCGAATTAATGACAAAAGCTGGGAAACAGAAGGGACAGACAGGCACCCAAAGTCTTATTACCAGGATATAGCAGTAAAATTAAGTGCAGCTACATACAAATTTATGCAACAATCTAGGATGATTTCAACATATATTGTTGAGCGAAAAAAAGCTGCAGACGATTACGTAACAAAAATCTATTTTTGCAAGGTTTAACCGTTTATCAAATTAAACATACATGTACATAAACTGAATTTTTAAAAAGCAAAGGAATAAACCCGAAATACAGGAGAGTATTACCTCTGAAGGAAGACCAGGGGATGGAATGGGAAAAAGGCAAAGGTAATTTTAACAAAACTGGCAATAGCCTACTTTTAAAATTCCTGATCGGTTCCCATGTGTACCATGTTTATCTATTACATCTATTTACGTACCCCAAAACAGTAAGTTTCTAAACGACATCCCATGTGCACAGTGAAAGAACAGAGTTCTCAAGCCTTCACGAAAGTGACTTCAAAAACTTGAAGAGCCCACTACACCTCACCCACTTACGGTAGACGTAGCTACCTGACGCTGCAAGCCCCAAAACTAACACAGTCACTTCCGCCCCCACCTCCCTAGCCCCGCCCATCTGAGCGGAAGTACTTTCCTTTCGGGTCCTCCCGCCTGTAGGGGGCTCTCCGAGGCTCCTAGTGCCACGAAGGCCTCCCGCCTGGGCTGTCCTCGCGGCGCCTGTTAGTTTAGCTGTAGAGGATACATTTGCATTGTAACTCTTTCGCCAGGAAAAAGTCTCACGGGCCTGTTACTCTGGATAATAACGTTCAGACTCAATCCTGGCTGAGTACTCTCACTGTCAAACCCCGTCACAGTTGTGCGAGAGAGTCAGGCGGCGTGGGGACAGCCCCGGAGTGCCAAAAGTCCCCGGCCCGCTTCCTCTTCACAAGACGTAGCTGCGGGTGGCTGTGGTGGCGGCGTCCAAGATGTCGACCAAGAATTTCCGAGTCAGTGACGGTGACTGGATTTGCCCTGACAAAAAGTGAGTTCATGAGGACCCCGAATTGGAGCGGGGTCGATCGGTGGAGGCTTTCCGAGGTCGAGTGGGCATTTTCCGTTTTTACGACCTCTGATGCGTTAAGCCGGGTGGAGGCGGCGAACTGCCGGCTCCCGGCGGGAGGGAGGCTCTTTCGTCTCCTCACGATGAGGTCTTTTGGGAGCCTTTGTTTTCATTTTATCTCCCGCGCTTCCTCGACTGTACCTCTCCAAGACAGCCAGTCGCTTTGGGGAACGAGATGGCCGACCCTTTGCCCCACACCCCGCCCCCGCCCCCGGCCGGGGTTCAGCGATAAGGAAATCCTGGTCTAGGCCAGCTCGGTATCGGATCTCCCACACGTGACTTCCCTGCAGAACTTTACTCTTGTTCGCTGAAAGCGTTGCTTTCTGCAACTCATCCTTTTGCTTCTCCTAGTTCACCTTGCCTTTTTTGTTTGTTTTGTTGTTGTTGGTTTTAACTCAAACTTTACGTACTCTATACTTTTTCCCACGAACACTGGCTATCTTTGGTTGGAGAAATTGACTTTATTGGCCTTTAATTTCCCCACAAAAATCGAACCTTTCGCCCCGTTAGAGCCGAAGCACATGAGGCCTGTGTTTTTTTCTGCCTGCTCAGCCCTGGAGAATGCCTGCTGCAGAGAAACACGTGTTTTTGTGGCCCTGCCTTTTGACATTGTTGCTGAAGCCAGTGTGCGCTAGTAAAATGTTACATTGTATTGACGGGTGCTTAAATGGGTGTACCTACCTGGAGATGTACGAAAATTATTACGGAACGTAATTGTCAGAAAAAAATTGACTACACAACTCATGTTCCAGTAAAAACCTTTGATTTCTTGTCCCTAAGCCACAGGTAGCATTTTGTGTTGTTGGTCATTTGTAGAATGATGTGCTTTTGGCAGTGTCAGTAATGACAGTATACTCAAAAATTTGAGGTAGATTTTTCTGAGAGTGCATTTCAACTCAGTTACGAATGTATGAATAGAGTAATGTCTACAATGTCTATAAATCCAGAAAACATTTTCAGAGTATGTTTTCAATGCTTTTTGAGGTCAAAAGGATATTCTTCAGAGGGAAAAACAACGTAAAAATTATTTGGAATGCTTCAGTTTACTGTCCATTCCGTTTTTCACATCTCTGTATTTCATTCTAGTATAACACCTAAAAAAGTAATCAGTTACTTAAAATTTGAGCTTTACATGTTATTTAGAGCATTCAGCATGCTTTTACCGGTATGCAGATACACTATGGACCACAGTGGTGAACCCAATAATTTTTTTGTTTTTTAATTAAGTTTGTTGAATATCATCATGAAGTGTTACTCTATATGTTGATTATTGCTTGTAGTTTTTAAACTGGGTTTCAGAGGTTTGATATCACCCCAAACTCAGTTTCCTTATAATTACTGAACCTATTTATATTTTTAGTCAGTACAACCTATCTTTCTTTGTTTCTTACCATTCTATCTCCTGCTTCCAATAAGTGTTTTATTACGATCTGTGAAGCCCTCTCTGACTTACTCATTTTCTTCCTCTTGGTCCATCCTTAGGATTTTGTATTTCTTGTAGTACTTTACACAATTTTATATAATTTTATTTTCTACACCGAGGATTACTATAAAGTTTTTTGAGCTCCCTGGTGCCTCATCAGTAATTGTTCAGTGGAGTCACATCTAAATTCAGCTTTGTAAAGAGGTTTCATCATAATTAAAGATACATGCTAATATGAGGGCTCTGAGGCACAGAGATCCTAAGTGACTTACTAGGATTACATAATTAGTAAGTGAAAGATTGGAGTTTCTTATCCTCGACATGTGACTTCAAATCTTTTTTTTCCAACTAAATTGTGAGGTTTGTTTTGTTTGGGTAGTTAACATTGACATTAGCATGATATGGGATGGTGTTAGAAGTTCGCAAGTTCTAGACCCAGGTATTATAAGGAGGACAAATTAAAAAGTTGTGTACACAGAATTTTTTAAATTGTAAAATTTTATAAGATGTCTCTAAATATTCTTTACTTAATTTTCAGATGTGGAAATGTAAACTTTGCTAGAAGAACCAGCTGTAACAGATGTGGTCGAGGTAAGTATTTAAGGAAGCTTCTATTAAGATTATATATACAGATCACTTCTTTATTTCCCCAGATTCATGCTGCATTTTTCTATTTTCAGAGAAAACGACTGAGGCTAAGATGATGAAAGCTGGTGGCACTGAAATAGGAAAGACACTTGCAGAAAAGAGCCGAGGCCTATTTAGTGCTAATGACTGGCAGTGTAAAACGTATGTTTCAAATTATC